AGGAGGGTGAGGAGGGTGAGGAGGAAAAGGAGGAAGAGGAGGAAGAGGAGGAAGAGGAGGAGGAGGAAGAGGAGGGTGAGGAGGGTGAGGAAGAGGAAGAGGAGGAAGACGTCCTCGTCCTCATGAACCAAAGGACAAGGACAGAGAATAAGGGTGAGGAGGAAGATGAAGAGGAAGAGGAGGAAGACGTCCTCGTCCTCATGGACCAAACGACAAGGACGGAGAATAAAAACGAAGGAGAAGGAGGTGAAGGAGGAGGGGACGGAGGAAGAACAAGAAGAAGGGAGGAGGGAGAAGGAGAATCTGACAACAATTACAAAAAGGAGGAAGAGGAAGAGGAGGAGGAAGAAGAAGAAGAAGAAGAAGAAGAAGAAGACAAAAAACGCAGCAGTGTCTTCCCTTGTTCTAGCGGAATGCAGTGGTGTGCCTTCCCATGTTCTAGCCGAAGATTCATTCTCATTTTGCAGATTGGGCGATTAATGGAGCGAGGCCCAAAGGGATCTGAGGGCGTACTCACACTGGGACTTGTAAACAAACTTTAGTGGCCGGACTAAATTTGGTCAGATACATTCAGTTCAGAGATGTACTGACTGAGATCGGCCAGTCTTTTTCTTGTCGGGGAGGCTGTCGGCCGTGTCTGTGCTGCCGAAGAGGAGGCAGATGCAGGAGCAGGACAGAGAGGAGGTGGCAGACCGGTTAGGAGCACAAGGGAGGAGAAGGCGCAGGTTTCCGCCACGCGTGGAGCCTCCACGCAGCGGGCATTGCCTTGTATTTTATAATAAATAAACAACACCGATGAACAGAAGAGCCAGAATCAAATGCCCAATTACCCCCCTTTCCTGCCAGCAATACAAAGAGCCCTCCCTTGACCTCCTACACCTCTCTCTCTCCTTCGTATGTCATCCGGCTATGATGGCGTCTCAGTCTAGCTCAGACGTCCAAAGGACAACACAAAGCACCCATAACCTCTCCCACTTCAGCCGCCAAGTCCACTCTACCAGATTGACTACTCAGGTACCCGCTTCAGGGCCATTCTAGGTGCAGCGCCAACCCTGGAGACATAGACGCAAGTCCACTGTAGCCAAAGGCGACTCCCCTTGCCGGTTCCCACCTTCTTCCTCCTCCTACATCCTCCACTACACCACCCCATACCCTAGCTAGAGGTCCATCACGCTCATCTCCATAGCCTCGGACAACCTCTACCTCTCCCTACTACTCCATAGCCATGGAGGTCTTCTTCCTCACCGTCAAGCTCCTCCTCCACCACCAAGGAGCACGTTAGCATCTTCCTCTGGGTGGAGCAGCAGCTTCACTGCTTCCAAAGAGAGCCGCAACTGCCCCTTGCACCAACGGATATACTTTTTTCCTACCCAAGCTCCCAGAACGTCTGATCAATTTTCACTGTAGCCCGGCCTCCCCTTGGCGTGCGCTGGACATATTGGAAATTCCTGCCTTTTGACGGAAGCATTATTGCAGCCGGCAGCTACCCCCAGGGGCTAAATCTAACCTAATCCCTGTCTATACACGCCCTGGACCATTGCGACTTTTTGGAGTCTATTGGACTTTTCCCTGAGCCTACTGGACCTACCTGTGATTTGCTGCGAGCATTACTTCCATCAAATTCTACAACTATCCCTCGTCGCTATCGTTGTACTCCCAATACACCTTACCGCTAACTGTCAGTCCAATTGAATTGGGGAAGGGATCTAAGAAAGTGTCTGATAATAAGGCTATACAGCCACAGGCCGTCTCTCTGTTCCTACCTTGTCCACGTCGAAGGTGCAGCCACGCACAAACGGCCAACAGAGTTTGCACAGGGACGCAGACTTGGACTCAGGCAAGCACACGGACATGCAACCTAGTGGTAGATCGCACACACTTGGAAAACACAGCAAAATCACAGCAGAACAGACTCGGCGACTCGCGCTCGGATTTTCTCAGAAAACAGACCAAAAGAACAACCTTTTCTGGAAACTGCTGGAATGTCAGACAGCCTGGAAACTGCTGGAATGTCAGACAGCGATTTGTGCAGGTCATCGCACCTTTTCTTTTTACTTCTATTTTCGTTTTTTCTCTCTGCAACTTTGAGGTTGCAGCCACGATACCACATTCATATGTCGTCACTAGGCAAGATTACACTGGAAAGCATGCAAAACCCCGAGTTGTGGGCATTCATTCACAAGGCATGGATGCAAAGCTGCAAACGGAATTCGGAAGATGGACTGTCACCCAACACATTTTGCAATCGCCAGGTGATGGACTGTCACCCAACATCCCTTCCCCTAAAGCAACCCCTCAAATTCTCTGATGTGGATTTTTTCTGCAGTCAGTCCAAGAAAGCACTTTGCTGAATTCAATTGTTGAACTGAGGGGCTCGAGGCCATGCTCGCAGTTGGACTTTCCCAAATGCCTCAGCCAGCAACAACAACAAGATTCGGTAAAAAAGAAAAAGGTTCTACTGCCCTGAGAGTGCCCAATGAGAATAAAAGCTAAATAAAAGAGCAAACGGTTGGAGAAGGGCTAAAGTGAAAGAAACAAGTCATGGAACTTCCACCAAAAAATCATCATAAAATAGTATTGAACGAGCCAAGAAGTAATCACGCAGGCTGGGAAGGTCGTGGTCGATGCTCTTGATTGCCAGCAAGTCAACTGGTAGTTCCATGGATTGGAGGTCTCACGTGGTTGGCAGACCATATCATTCATTCCCCGTTCTCCTTGCCCTTTTAGCAGCGGGCCCATCGGCAAGAAGCGTGGGCAGAGGGGAGGGACAATGGGTACTCACAAGACAGCTGATGAGCAGATCTAGTTAATCCAGCTGGGAACGGACGCTACCTGCCAAAGAAATGCAACTGAGAGAGTATCATCTGCTGAGAAGTACCTTTCCAATACACAACAGAACACTTTTGGGCAGAATGGAAGGACAGGAAGAGAGGGGAGAGAGAGAGAGAGAGAGAGAGAGAGAGAGAG